GTAGTCAATCTACACCTGAGTCGTTTAGACTGATCCTCTGTGAGGATGGAAGAATTATCCTCTTTGCCCCAGGGCACGCAGGACGGTTTTAACAAGCTGATGTACTTGCTTGGCCCTGAGGGCGTGCAACACCTTGTGGCGCAAGGCCCGGAGGCAATCGGTACGCGTCTAGAAGCGTTTTCAAATTACGAAAACGCGCTGCTAGAGCACCTGTAGCAGAAGATGTCTGCATCATTTGTGTCTATGACGCCACCGTCGGTAACGGATGATTTTCCCCGCCCTAAGCCACTCATGGTGAACGCTAAGGTCTTTGAGGGGAAGGTCGGAGAGAATCTTCTGCTCTGGGTGAGAGAGGTCGGGATGACCATCGCATCCGCCATGCTCCAGACCGAGCAACAGCGCGTAGCGCTAGCCATCTTTAAGCTTGGTGGTCGAGCGCGAGAATGGGCACTGATGTGCGGCACTTCGGTCGAAGCTGCGTTTCTCTCCTGGGTGGAGCTGAAATTGCAGCTCTCACGAGTGTTCTCGCCGCCTAATCAGGCATATCGCGTACGATCGCGCTTCCTTGTCGCCCGACAGGACAACAAGGAATTGGTGGGCTTTGTCCAAGATATGCGCACTCTCATTGACGGGATGGCATCAGATCCCCTTCCGGAGGCGGTCACAGTGACCGTCTTTATGGAAGGCCTCCGCACTGGCGTGACCAGATGGAAGTCTTCCGTGTGCATCGGTCTCGTTTGAAGAGGCGGTGAATGTGGCATTAAACGCCGAATTCAATATCAAATCGGCACGACTTGGGTGGAATGCGCACTCCAACAGCTCGTCGAGCGGGCCTATGCCCATGGATCTCAGCTATGTTGAAGACGAGGGAGAAGAGCTCCGAGCTGCCGGGCAGCACGCAAACACACGACGGTGTTTTGTCTGTGGGGGCACCCGTCACCTGCGAAACGGTTGCCCCCTGCGCAAGGTGCGTCAAGGTTCTTCGAACCATCGCCCCAACGCCTACCAGTCTGGTTCGTCGACACCACTCAGTAGGCGCGAGGCGAGATATGTCGACAGCGGATCATCCGCAGACC